TGGTAGCACATTATATTTATAAATGCCACAAACTAAGAGTTAAAGAGTGAACACATCTGCATTAGTAGTACCATCAATATTTATATAAATATATATTTGGATTAATTTTACATGTATTTTTGTTTTGTTTGTTTATGGATGTATTATTTGTATTTTTGTTCTGCTATGTACAATGCTTTGGCAATATGTACCTGTGTGTGTGTGTGTGTGTGAGAGAGAGAGTGAGTGAGTGAGACAGACCCTGGACCACAAAACCAGTCTTAAGTGTCAGTTTTTCAAATACATTTTGAATAAATAAGTTTTCCATTGATGTATGGTTTGTTTTTACAATAGAACAATATTTGGTCGAGATACAACTATTTGAATATCTGGAATCTGAGGGTGCAAAAAAATCTAAATATTGAGAAAATCGCCTTTAAAGTTGTCCAAATGAAGTTCTTAGCAATGCATATTACTAATCAAAAATTAAGTTCTGATATATTTACAGTAGGAAATTTACTAAATATCTTCATAGAACATGATCTTTACTTAATATCCTAATGATGTTTGGCATAAAAGAAAAATCTATCATTTTCACCCATACATTGTATTTTTGGCTATTACTACAAATATACCCCAGCGACTTAGTACTGGTTTTGTGCTCCAGGGTCACACACACATATATGTATATGTATATGTAAAGAGTTCATTTGCAAAAAAAATCGATAAACGCCACTTTCAAAAATACTGAGCTGATTGCCGTGCATTATTCTCCACATATAGCGCGATCTGAACCCTAAACACGTTTTGTCAAAAAAGCCGGTTTTGTCCACTTTCAAGGCATCGCGAGTTCACGTTTTACTGCAGAAGCCGACAAGCGTCCTTGTTGTTTTTGAACAGAAGCCGATAAGTCCATTTTAGCGAATCAGCGCGCTGTATTCAGGTCAGAAGACAAGACTACTTTCACTCTGAAAAGAGGTGCTAACTGAGAGGAGTTTCGTCAAAGCTGACTAAAAGTGATCGAGGATCATTTCGATGAACTCGATGAACCTGTGATATCTTCTTCAGGGCGAATAAGGAAAATAAAAGCTGAAACGTTTTCACGGAAGCTTGCAAAAGCAGCGCGTTACAAAGATGAGGGAAAAGCTCTGTGTATTGCCTGTAATAATCACATCCATACAGTTTATGATCACAACAACAACAACGTTTGTCAGGCATCTACACTGTCATCTGAGGAGATTACAAAGATTAAACTAGTGTTTTTTAAACTCTAAAACATGAAATGTGGAGTTACATGCTTTTGCTATAAAACAAACGTTTAATATGTAAAAAAAAAAAACTTTCAATGAACTTTAATTTTGTAAATTACCTGTGTTTAAGGTATTATTACTTAAAGGGGTCATATGATGCTTTTTTAAAGATCATTATTTTGTGTATTTGGTGTAACATAATGTTGACATGCTTTAATGTTCAAAAAACATCCCCTGAAAGGGGAACAGAGTCGCGTGACAGACACAGTGATGAACACACACACACGATGCGCAAAACTCCGCATTTGAACAGTCAATAGCAAATACTTAAACTAATAACAAAACAGTAGCTGATTCAGAAGCTCCAGATTGTCATAGCAAAGTCAGAATTACCTCCTCTCCTAGGTTCACGAAACGGTCATCCATAAAATGCATTGCTGTTCTGTTGTAAGTAATCTTAAAGATTCCTAAATGCATCTACTTTCGGAAGGCCAAATAAAGTGCTTTTGCTTTCGCACTGAAACACACAGCGTCTCCCTGACATGCTGCTTCAACACTAACTGCGGTTACTGAAACCTCGCCTTCTTTCTTTGCGTGAACATTTGGGCGGCATTATGCTAATATTTCCACATAGTGAGGTAGATATGTGGGGGTGTGTTAGAACGAGCCGTTTTAGGGGGGCGTGGCAGAGTCTTAACTTTGATAAAGAATATCTCTTTGGTTTTGAGACTTTAGTCTTTGCAACTTCAGGGATCTTATCTATGCACAATCAGCTTGTAACACTCCAAAGAGAAAGG